GACTGAAGTCGGTAGGAGTGACCATCATCTCACCACAGGGAAAGTGGAAAGTGTTGGTGGTGTCCTAAAGGAACTCCACCAGAGCACGAACTACATGGTGACCCCCGCTAGAGGCAACCAATGCCTCGGAGGTCTTGAACAGCGCAGTAAGCCAGCAAGACTCCCATAGAAGTCTCGTCTGATCGTCTCTGGCGATGTACATCTTGTACAGATCGCCCAAGCCGTCACAACCGGAACCATGACAGCGCGTCCTCCCAACAGTGATGCCCCGTCTCACCCTCTCAGAAATGTGATGGACAGGAGAAAAGTACAAGGTTCGCTCATCCCATTTAGGGAATCGACCAAGCGAAGTGGACGGTTCGGCATCGTCCTCTACGGGCTCGTGCTCCCGTCGAACGTCTCGGGACCGTGAACCGGAACCTCGCTGTCTAACCATGCTACATTGTGCAAAATTCTCATAAATTAAGGTTCTATAGTATCTAAGGTTTGCCTAGCCGCATGATACTATGTTCGCAAAAAACAGAGCACATAGTACTAAAACAGAGCACAAATTCAAATTGAGCATAACGGCATATTTCAAGCAATAAAACAATTTCTTGCAATACTATAGTAATTATTGTGACAAATTGGAAAAGAATTGCTAGCCAAAAACATCAAGAACAAGCCACATTATATTCCCGACCTTAAGAGGTTCAACAATGGTGATTTGTTCGTTTCTTCACCAAATTGAGTGAAACAAGTCTCAAATTAATCCTAAGGCAATATATAAACATAATCAAGCAATTTTATGGTATAAAATTAAACAAACAAAGAGAATTAAGCATTATAAATTTTGAATTTTTAAGACATTCGGGAATAAACACATGCAAAATTCATTAAAACCGGTGTGAGTTTGAAGAAAACTTACATAGATCGGGAAAATGGATGGAATGAGCTTTGATTTGCAACAAATTTGAGCGAATTTGGTTGAGAAACGAGCAAGAACGGATCAAATGAAGTTCTTAGAATTCTCGAGCAAGAAACGCGAAGAGCAGCATCGAAAATGAAGAAGAGAAGGGTATTTAAGGAAAACCCGACTCTAGCGCCAAGCATCAGACCTTGGCGTCAGTCAATAGGCTTTTGCGCCTGGCGCTAGCTCCAGCGTCTGGCGCTACAACCAGTTAAGTGGCGCTGACGATATTTCAGCGGCGCCAGAACATTTAGCCACTCGGTACGGTTGTTCTAACCTTATACAATATGTTTTGGTTTCCTTGGTACGCCAGTTAGCCCCTCTAGGCAATTTGACACGACTTTTAGTAATCGGCTTGATTACACAAAGTGATGGACTTGATGAAAGATCGTCTCACTTGGCTTAAAAAGCCTAAACATTAGCTCATCGTAAAAGGCACCGACATACTGGTTCATTCGGAAAGGCACCAATATACTGTTTCGTAATTCAGCAAAAGGCACCGACATACAGGTTCAAAAGCAGCAAAAGCACCGATGTACAGGCATAGCGGAAGCAAGGTTCAATTGAGTTTTTTAATGATCGACAAGCAGAGGTCTTCGGTAATTTCCTTTGGAAAATTATCGCAACAAATGAGGATAGCTTCAAGCGAGGATATCTTCGGCAGCGTTCCCTAGAATGTGGAAAGTTGTCACAAACAACTGAAGGTGATATTAAGCGAAGTTGTCTTCGATCATGTTCCCTAAGATGTGTAAGATGGTCACAAAGAGGAAGAAGATAGTTTCAAGTGAAGCAATCTTCGATAGTGTTCCCTGGTTTGTGGAATATTATCAAGGCGGAAATTGGAGGCAGTTACAAGCGTAGCGGTTTTCAAGCGGGATGGCATTCTCTAGCTTGCAAGAGGTCATCTTCAGAGACGTGTGCTCGACGATGCAAGATACGCGTTTCTTAACTCTTTTATCTGTTTAACTAACGCTAGTTTGCAGGTATCGACGTTAAAAGAATGATTTAGGATCGCAGAACGTTCTGAATCATTCTCCGTCCCTATCGCTACTTTGACTTTTATTTTCGAAACTTGCGTTTCTCCAAACTCAGTCAAAGTGGGGGCTTCTGTAGACACCCATTTGTGTCTCCCCAAAACCAAACCCAGTGATGAGTACCTTTCACATCGAATCATAATCGAATGAAGTGAAAGTGTTGAAAGTTTACTGTTGCGGATAGTTTTAATTTCTTTTCTCTTCTCTCTGTTTTTGAAAACCTATTTTAAGAAAACAGTCAATCCAGTTTGGTTGGTCCATGATATAGGTCCAATAGTAGTGTAGTTGGATGGGGTTTGAAAAGAGCTTTCCAACGATATATTATAAGCCCGATTCCGATGAATATTGAGAAAGTTATGGCCAAATTACTGAACTGGGCTTGGTTTGAGCCTTATATGCGGCCTAATGATCTAGAGGAGGGCCTAACATAGATTTATCATTCCTAATGCAATTAGGAATGGTTTTTATCTTTTAGATTCTTATAGAAGGTTCTTTTCATTCCTAATTCGATTAGCATTGAATTAGAATAAAAGAACGTTTTTGAGGAAAATACGATTTTATCCTCCTGTACGGCAATTTCTATATGATTTTAAGAAAACACGTCAAAAAATTAGTCAGCGCCAAACGCCAGCATTAGCGCCTGACGTTAAGCTTGGCCCCTGGCGCTAACATCAGCGTTTGGCGCTAACCTCGTTTTGCGCGTCAGAACTCTGTTTTGGTTTTTCTATCTTTTTGGCTGATTTTCTCTATAAATAGCTTCCTAAAAACTCCGTTTTCATTCACCAACTCTCATCAAGATTTTCTTGATTACTCTCTCTATCTCTCTTTTCTAAACTAGTTTTCTCCCAAATACAAAATTCCGCATTCATTAGATTCAGAAACACCTAGCCAAGTTCGAAGTTGCCTTCGCCCTAGACGTGAAAGGTTTAATTTCTGAGGGTTTGGTCCCAAATCTCTCTTTCAATTATTTAATTTAATTGTTTGTTTTTTATTTTCCTTGAAGTTACTAACGAGTGTATTTTGTTATTAGAAAGAGGTACGAGGCATCCAAGTAAGTACTTTAGTGGTTTAATTGATATTATGATATAGAAATCATGCTTAGATTGTTATTTTGATTCCTAGTATCATGTCTAGGGTAACTTTAATATCAAGTATGATTAAAAGTATGATGTCTTTTATGTTCTTCCTAATATTTATCATGTTAGTATCATGTTAGGGCTAAAGCTTTGATTTTTATTGCTTAGTGACATGCTAGGGTTTGTTATTAATCTTGTTAGTATCATGCCTAGGGTCTTGCAATTATTATGCTTTAACATGATCATGATTATTTTTATAATTATTATTATGATGATTATTTATTATGTTGCTTGATACTTATTGTTATTGCTTGATCACACCTTTTATACATGTTTAAAGGGAATTTGTACTTGTAATCACGCTTAATAAGATAATTAATAATCTTGTTTAGGGTTAATATGATTATAATTCAAGTGATAGCAAATAATAGTTTTATTTGTGCATTAATATTCAACCAACATAGATAAACAGGTTTAGGGTAATCCTATTGATTGCATGTTAATCAGAAAGCGCACATGAATACGATCAGAATAAAGTAGAGGCCTATTATTAGGGCAGGTTCAATCTCTTTTAGGTTGGATTTGTACCTTCATCCCCGAACCCTATTTGGTTCAAGACTTTATGGAGTTGACGATCTCTTGGATCGTTAAGGGTTGTAACTTTCACCCCGTGAACGGTTTACAAGTTCCTAAAAAAAACTTGTTGGTGACTCTTTTGCTCTATCTTCTTTCCCTTTGGACGCCACCGTACTTTAGTGTATGATCACAATGGGGTTCAAGCTAGGGGTTAACGCTTGAAATATTCCCTACAGTAATCATAACACGATAGGAGGATGTTTATATCCGGGATCACTTGTGATCTCACCGTGCACCTAACTATAGGGGGCAAACTAGGAAATAGAGCATGGACGGGTCAACCCGCTAAGCCCGTCCAACCTAGCCCGCAAAATAAGCGGGTTGGACAACCATTTTGAAAAAAATTGAAAATTTGGGCGGGCTAGGCCCGGCCCGTTAATACAAATGGGCGGACATGGACAAGACAATATGTACCGTGGGCTAGCCCGCCCGGCCCGTTTATTTCAAAAATTAATAGTTTAATGATTTTTTAGTTAATTGATTATGTAGTATATTTTAGAAAATAAATACAAAGAGAATACATTGGACTCCAAGCTATTACTAGCTATAACTATTAATTTCAATTTTATATTTTATCATTATACTTGTATTAAATAAGTTCATTCTTTTCTATTTTTCACTAACATATGTCACAAGTTAAATATGTTTTTTTTCCTAGTATCATTTGTGATCAAGAAATTTTTAAGATAAGTAAATCAAAATAATATTAACCTAAGTAAATGATAAAAAAAAAAAATTAATTAGTGTTAGATATATGTAAAACAAATATTTTAGGCCTGTGAGCCCGCGGACAAGCCCGACCCGTTAATAGAGCAGGCATTGACAATTTATCGAGCCCGCATAAAAGGGCTCGGGTTAGCTACAATAAGCTCGTTGGACAAAAATTGAAGTATAGGCCCGGCCCGTTTCCCGTCCAAGCCCGCAAACGATCACTTTTACAGGAAAGCACAACGGGCGATCCTCAGGACTATATTATCTCTAATAAACTAATGAGAATTTTTGGTCACTAAAGGAGTGGTATAAATATATTCATATACATAAAAAAAAAATGTGATCTTAATAAAAATAATTTAACATTACACTTATCAAACACTTGTAATTACTAATAATTAACCATAAACAAGGAATGGAGCTGGCTGTCGGTGCTAAGGAGTTGAGTCGTCGCCTTCGCATTACATTACATTACATCTTAAAATAAAAAAAAAAAAAAAAAAAAAAAGAAATATACTAAAATTTCAACCAGCCTGTCTTTAAAGCTAAACTCAATAAACCCATCAACTCAAATCTCCACCGTTGATCTCTCTCTATTGTCCAATCTCATCAACTCCGACCCCACATTCCTCTTTCTCTCTCCTACTTCGACAACCATAGCCCACCTCCCAATTCCTTTCCTTCCTTCTTAACACACACACATTCACTCTCTCTCCTCTCTTCCCTTCCACCCTACTCAAGATCCATAACACCCATTTAAAGCAATCAATTCAATTCTCAGTTAATCAATCATTTTCTCTCTCTTCCTTTTTAATTCATCTATCCAACCTCACAACTTATTGTATCATTGCTAGTGAAGATGTCGGCATGGAAGGTGTCGGCGGTGGTGTTGGCGGTGGTGTTAATGACGGGGTTAGCGATGGCGGATATGTCGGAAGAGACGAAGGTGAAGAAGGTGAAGGGGAAGAAGGTTTGTACCAGAGGATGGGAGTGTACTACTTGGTCTAAGTATTGTTGTAATGAGACAATTTCGGATTTCTTTCAGACTTACCAATTTGAGAATTTGTTTGCTAAAAGGAATCTTCCAGAAGCTCATGCTGCTTATTTCTGGGATTATCAATCTTTTATTACTGCTTCTTCTTTGTTTCAACATCTTGGGTTTTGTACTACTGGTGGTAAACTTATGGGTATGAAGGAGCTTGCTGCTTTTCTTGGTCATGTCGGCAGCAAAACTTCATGTAATTTCTCAATCTCTTTGTTTATTTATTTGGTTTTGATTAATTGATTTTGTTGAATTTTTTGTTTTCATTTGGTTTAATTGATTGAATTGTGGTCTGTTTTGATATAATCTTATGATCTGTGAATGGTTTTGTTGTTTGATGTTGTTGATGATGATCTTTGGTTATAATTTATAATGTGTCATTGTTGGGTTTGTTGATATTTGAAGAAGAATTATGATTGTTGTGAGGTTCTAAGGTGTGGGGTTTGATTAAGTTTACTGTTTTTGAAAAATTGGATTGATTATGCTAGAACTACTTTGGTGTTTTTATCTAAGTAGTGGAGCATTTTGATGGATTATAACATTGTAGTTGCTTCAATTGCTAATTTATTTAGCTAAAGAAACGAATTGTTGTATATAGGATGGTCAGAATTGGTCTGAATACCATAATTCAAAGCTAATTTTTGCCCAGTATTTCTCCAATCTTCGCGAGGTTGCTAATTGTGCTATATGATTTTATTATATTAAGTTGATGCTGACTTTTATTTGTGTGTTGTTTGGTTTGAGAATTGCCTGAATGATCTATTTGATATCTATATTCTGTTTACAATGGTTTTTGCTGGAAATTTTGCATTGTCTTTGATCAAATGAGGCTTAAAATGATGTTTTGTGTATCAGGCGGCTATGGAGTTGCCACTGGTGGACCATTTGCTTGGGGACTTTGCTATAAAAGGGAAATGAGCCCAAGCCAATCGTACTGTGATGACAGTTACAAGTATACTTACCCCTGCGCACCTGGCGCTGAATACTACGGCCGAGGGGCTATTCCCATTTATTGGTATGTGTAAATTGCAGCATTCATTTTGTTGCTCACTCCTTTATGATGCTGACTTGTGCAATTTTCATTTCCTGAGGTGAATTCTATTTGAACTATGAATTTACCTATTATTATCAGTTTGATCTCCCATGAGTGTTTAGAGGACTGTTTGTGTGCATGCTCTAGCAGCCTGTGAGCTTCTGTTAGATCTGACGTATGTCTTATACCTGTCACACTAGATATTTAGACATGCTGATATGGTTTCCTCTTACTATTAATTAAAGCTTAATTTTAGCTATACCTTGTCATCTCTCCCCTATTTCCCTCCCCAAAAACAAATTCAATGCTTTATTTGATGACGAGTTATTGGCCAAAAGGCTCAGTTTAGATCATTAAATGGATGACAAGTTAGATCATTCAGGCAAAATAAAGATTCAAGTGATAATTAGATATGTTACAATTTTCTTTCTTTTTTAATTAATATTTTGCTTGATATGATGATGATCAATGACTACGTAAAAAGAAGGTAGTATACTTGGCATATATATTTTATGAAATGAAAATATTAATCATTCTGATGCTCTTTTTCTAGGAACTACAACTATGGAGCTGCTGGTGAGGCACTAAAGGAGGATTTGCTAAATCATCCAGAGTTCATCGAGCAGAATGCTACACTTGCCTTCACAGCTGCAATATGGAGGTGGATGACACCATTGAAGAAGGGACAACCGTCAGCACACCAGGCTTTTGTTGGTGATTGGAAGCCTACCAAGAACGATACTTTGTCTAAGCGTGTCCCTGGCTTTGGAGCCACCATGAATTTATTGTATGGAGATGGTGTTTGTGGGAAGGGTGATGTCGATGATATGAACAACATCATGTCTCACTACCTTTACTACCTTGACTTGTTGGGCGTTGGCCGAGAAGAAGCAGGGCCCAGTGAAACGCTCACCTGTGCTGAACAAGTTCCTTTTAACCCATCGAATCCTGGGAGCTCCTCCTCTTGAGTGTTGGCAGATACTATGCTTGTTATTGTATTCTTTTTGGAATCGATTCTCTGCAGAATCCATTGATATCAATAAGCTAAGGGTCATTCTTGATGTCATTGTTACTTGTAAGGTGGTGCATTTTTATTATTCGTTTAATATGAAGTAGTCTGTTCAAGTTTGAAATGAATATCTGGTCTTGCCGCTATTATACTGTAGTTTTATAAAATGTGTTTATGATGTAATTTTGTCGTAATATCACAAGGTTGTGTAAAACGATTTTGAACAGTAAATGTCGATATTACAGTGTTCTTGTATTCAAATCCTCAGTCCGTTGTTATATTGTCTTAACTGGCTTCTTGTAGTATTACTAGCAGCTAACGCAACTAGCATTTAAAATATCTGTCTTATGTCTATTCTGCCTTTGGTTTCACCACAAATACTCCCATGAAATATCCCATTTTGTGGTCAGCAAGGAAGTGAGGGGACAGAAGGAAATCAGGACCTAAGCAATGCTGTGTGTACAACATAGACAAGCTTTCGCCTCTCCTGGTTTGCTCCCCTTTTCTTCTCACCATCTGTGTTGTGTCGTTACCTGCAGTTGGAATGTTCACAATCCTAATATACCCGTCATTGGGCTGATCAAATGCAACATTCCTGATGCTGGAAGAGCTAAATGGCATCTGCCCAGATCCTACCGTTCAATCTCCTTCGAGGATGAAGAAGAATCAAGTCTTGACTCTAGCTCCGATCATTTTTCGAGGTTTGAAGAAGCAGTGAAGCTGTTCAATGGAAGGGAATACTATGCATGCCACGACTTGCTTGAATCTCTTTGGTTTGATTCATACGACCCTCTTCGTACCCTTCTTCATGCCCTCCTCCAATGTGCTGTTGCTTTCTATCACCTCTTCAACCAGGTGGGTTGCATCTTCTTAATCAAAATACAGAACTTAATAACAATCGCATCTTTAAATACAAATCGCAATTATAAAATTAATAAAATATAATTTTGTTCATAGACAGAAAATGTGCTCTACAACTTAATTTAAGTATAGAACATAGCTGTTATTGTTCAGAAATTTAACTTGCAAATCCCTCACACACTTGCAGACTGTGCCCCAAGTAATTTAAGAAACTTGTTTTGCTATTTGAAGATCAAACATACATAGTAACTCCCTCTAATTGGAATTAGTTTTCAGACTGTTCTAACTCCCATCATCCCGACTCCCATACTTGCACATGACAAATTTTGACAATCATACCCTTTTGGTTAGTTCATTTCTTTTCATTTTGTTACCTATGTGATTCACTTAGTTTATGCTTCGGCATATCAGTAAATTCATCCATAAACCATTACTATATTTAGACACTCTAAATAAATATACAAACACGAAATAGTATGTGATATAAATTCTAGAGGTAAGGATTACATAAACTAACAGGTCACAGTTGAATTTTGACGAAACAAAATGGGCATGCAGAATCACAAGGGTGCAATGATGGAGATGGGAGAGAGTCTATGCAAGCTTCGAAAGCTGAATTTTGAAGGGGGGCCTTTTCATCAATTTGAACAAGAGCTCTCTACTGTCCTGAATTTCATCTATCAAACTCAGTTGGAGCTTGCTGCGTGTAAGTTCTTACATCGACTCTGTTTAATCTGTAATAAGGCACACACATGACACATTCTCCAGCATTTTTCCTTGATTCCCCTCCCCACCACCTCTGCCTCCACCCCAACTGTCGCCACATCCTTGGCGGAAGACTTTCCCGGCCTCCTAGAGAACTATGTTGCATTACTATATTAATTGTGCAGCAGGATGTATTTTTAATATGTTGAATAATATAACAGGTACTGAAGACTTTTGTCTGACAATGGAACAAACTGAAAGATCATACCAACTTCTTGAGGGGTATGGTGCAGGGCAACGCCTGTACTTTCTTGAAGAAATCGACGATGATGATCACAACAATCACATTACATACCTTGTCTTTGATCCTCAAAAAAGTTACGGTGCCACAAGCCTTCCTCCAACAAAGGTTAAACTTCCTATCTTGGAAGCAACTCGAAACCATCTCATGTCCTTTGAAAACTATTAATCAATTAGTCTTTGCAAAGATATTAGTTTTTACACTTATGGTTATGAATTAAAATCATTTTTCAAGTTTCAATGTGAATTTATCTTTGATGGAGTAACTATTTGCAGGTTTTGTGTACATCAACATTACTTTATTAACTGAGTCATGACTTGGCTAAAATAGATATATATATATATATATATATATATATATATATATATATATATATATATGCAATTGATGTGAAAAGCCCGAATTGTATGTTATCAAGATACCAACAACTCAAAATAAACTTGACAAGATTATATTAAATCAATTGGAAATATTCACTTAACCCAAAATCTCAAACACTCGACACATTATATTATATCACAGTACATCAGCATCTTTATTATTTTTCATATATTCTACAATGCAAGATTATCGATTTCAAACCAAGACCTTATAGTGTCATCTCATTATTTCTCTTCAATCTCAATCACTTTCTTGTCAGGATTCTTCATCTCTTGTTTAGGAATAATCACCTTAAGCACACCATTCTCCATATTAGCCTTAACTTCATCAGCCTTAGCATTCGCTGGCAGTTGGAATCTCCTACAGAACTTACCCCTGCTTCGCTCAATCCGGTGCCATTTATCCCCGTCTTTGGCAGCCTCGGAACCCGCCTCCCGGTGATCAGAGGCACCACCTCTATCCCCACATATTTGGGGACCCTTCCTTGATCAACCTCTTGTTAGTAGATAAGCAAATCAAACGAAAGTACTTATCTCAATGTTGTGTAGACCAATTGACAATTGCCGCGTCGTGGTAAACCACTGACCTAAAAGACGATTCCGCGCTACCCCGATGTAGTAGACATCAAGCGGTCGCCCTCCAGGATAAGCACGGCGCCGGAATTTGTGTGCACTCACAAACCCGACTGGAATTCAGAATACTTGCCCAAAAACCGAAAGGATATATTTTAAGAGAAGGTAAGAAGTTAAAGATGGATGGTTTTTGTTGTCATATCTTTCGGAGGTAAATAAGGTTGATTTATAAGGCAATGGAGGGAGTAAAAGCAACCAGTAATTAAGGGGAAAATGGTCATCAATCAAGTGGTGTAACATCCACCCATTAATCCCCAATAAGAGCTAGCTTTAATCAACATTAAAAGGGTAACGACTAGTCTTTAAGTAACATCTTTAATTAGCAATAACGCCCATTAAATTAGCAATAAGAGGAAGCTAAAATTAAGGGATTCCAATATCCATTAAATCCCAACAGTCAAAAGAATAAACACCGTAACTTTCTTGGTTTTACTTCAAGAACTTTCAACAATCCCCCACAGGTTCGAAGAAGTGAAAAGAAAGAAAGAGAGAAAATTGGTTTTGGGCAAAACAGAACAATTGCATAAGTGTCAATATCTCGCGACTTGAATTAACACATAGTGGACATCAAGCTATGATCCCTCACCTACCAAGTGACTTTCATCTTGAACTTAATAGGGAGTTAGGGACCCGTCACTTTGAGCCACACAATTGAACATGTATAATATTCTGAAATTCCGCGAATAAAAGTGACGCATTATACTGGCCATACGTCCAGCCTGGATGCTCATAGGTGCTCTAGAGTATTAGCCCACCCAATACTCATAGGAAGTGGCCACACTTCCACACCTAAGTAGGTGAACTCCATCAAGTGTGAGCTACAACACACCTCCAAAAATATGGATATGGGTTCATTAAGAGCCGTATGCTCAACCTCCTTCTCATTTGTAGCTAAGCACAAACAAACATCTAGAGATAGACAAATAAAATAAAAACTATGCTTCCGAATTATTAAATAATGTTCCCCTTTGAACTCATGGTGAGTAGGAGTTCACTATTTCACAATTCATACAACGGGCTTTAGCCCCATCTCTTCCGATGTTTCCAAAACTAGTTTTATACATTGACCTTTATTAGTTAACGGATCCGTAACATTCCTTTCAGACTTTTATGTAATCTAGTGATATCACCCCATTCTACAGATCATTTTTGACATCAACCATTATAGGCATGGTTCAATCAAAAGTAACCACAACATGCAAATCACAACAAATTCCCCTACAATAGGATATTTGCAAGCACATTTGCTCAAAAGAGCCATATACTCTTGACTATCTTGCCTCATAACCTATCAATTCAAGAGAAATAAATTAGATTATTCCAAAACAAACATAGCAAATTAAAACAAGGTTGCTTTGCACAATTTCCAAAAAATAGCTCCACCACTTAGTGGTGTAGACATAACCGCTTGAGTTTAAACTCTTCGTTGAACTCCAAGAACTCATGGAAACTTGCAATAGAGCAAACTCTAATAGTTTGTACTTTTGAAGTACCTATGGAACCTTCTCAAAACTATCTCATGATCATTGCTCGAGTTAAGAGTATACTTGCTTAATCTACTTACAAAATAAGAAACGTTAGATTAAGCATAGTTCCCAAGAAACATAACACCAAATGGACACAAATTGCTCCATATGATCAATAAGATCAAAAACTTTATATTGTAGCAATGACTCATCCATCACAAGTTTAGCCTTAAAGACTTCCAACAAAACTCAGTGAATTAGCAACAAAATCCATAGAAGAAATATCAAGCATTACAAATCTAAGGAAAATATTGTCAAATTCTACACATAGTTAGACATAACCTAACTCATAGTCAAACGACTTCATCCACAGAAACAATCACTCATGCCATTTCACTAGTTTAAAGTTGATACTCTAAAGACATAGAGATACCTAAACAATCTTGTAAGACAAACTCGATTAAAAATTATCTTTAGCTCAATTAACCACTTTTAGGCTTTGCATTAAACAATAGAAAATTCTAACATTAATGCCTCTCATTCCTACTAGATTCAAGTAATCCAGCTTGGATATCTAACCACTTGAAACATAGTAATAATACACATATATGCTCAAAGACAATTTATTCAATAAAGAATCAATTAGAATATGCAATTTATCAAGCAAAAACTAAGCAAGACTTTGAGTCCAACACTGATTATTTATTACTTCCCCCACATTGGACAACAAAGTCCGATTCAAAACCCTTACCAGTGCACCCACATTCTCAATGAATGAAATATTTGGATATAAAAACCTCCTTCCAAAAATCACATGGGGTCTTTATTAACATAGATTTCATATACAGAAAACGCATAAGTTTATAAAACATGCAATGAACCCCCACATGAAAAGGACAAGGTTCAAATACCAAAATAGAGCATAAACAGATATATGGTTGGGAAAAAAAAAATCACAACTATGTCATAACACTGGGTATAATAACATATAAGGTGGACAAGAGCAGAGATCTTAGAAACATTGAATTAATCAAAGATAATAATTCAACAATACCTCAAAATATTAACTCCCAAGACACCATATAAAATTCAAGGCATTTACAAATTACTCATGCTTTATTCATAAAGAATTATAACACAATAAAGAGTCAAAGGCGGTAACAATAAACCATCATAAAATATTGGAAAATCGTAGTCTATTCCCAAAATAATTTACTCGAAAATTCTCCAAAGAGAAAGCCATACAATCTCCTTAAGTAAAATTATCACATAATTTCCCTTCACAAAACTCAACAAGTTTGATAAACATGTTAAACCGAGGATAAAGTAATGAGATCAATTGAGTTATGAATAAAGTTTCTCAATACGAGTATTTCATATCATGGATTCAAGCAATTGACATATATAGTACACCTCAAATCCATACTCAATACATACATGAATCATGATAAAAGTAGTACTCAGAGTACATACATGCACCTAAAAAAATGTTAAAACATTGCTCAAAAGCATCCTACTGAATAACAAGTTACTCCACAAAATGTAAAACCAATAAATTAAAGGTAACTGATTATGTGCAATATAATGTCATACTCATAAAATATCGACATTATAACTTTTACTTTCTATTAATCATTTAACAAATATTTAATTGACAAATTCAACATTCAACGTACTTTGTCAACACCCACAAAAACATATATTTGTTAAGATGATTACTAGGAATTAAACCAGATGATAAACATAATAACACGAGACTTGGTTTAAAATGAACCTCCCTTGAATTAAATCAAGTAACATGTGTGAGACCTTTATGAGATGTCTAACCGTCCTCGTTGTAAATAAGGGCCGTAAGATGTCATCATAATTCACTAATCTGAGCAGCTAGTGAGAATCCAACCGTTGAAAAATAAGCCTCATGTGCCCCAAACATACTCCCAAAATTTCAGCGCTAACCGACCAAGGATGACCTTTGATCGGGGGTCATCTTTGGGGCTGCTCCCGAAAATCCGCGAATTACGAACAGGTCCTAAAGTCTCAAAATATAGCATATTAAAGGCATTAGAGAACATCAAAAACTCCACAAAAATCGAGTCTAGGGAACATTATAACACTCCGTTATGTAATCATATAAGATTGCAACTAGTTATATTGCAATGTATATCAACAACATAATACCATTGTCCAATTAAAAATAAAGTAACCCATATTGCAATATTAGTAATATTACAAATTAACAATATGATGAACCCATCACTAAATAATTAGTGAGGAAAATCAACTCAACGCATCATACAAACACAAACCCACGTGCAAACAAACCAAAGTCTATTAAACCATATCCACCATATAAAACCAAAATCAAACCAAATTAGAAGTTACAAAATTTTAAAGGAATATATGGAATAAATAAATAATCCCCAAACCAAGCAATTGCAAATAAAAACAAAAGCATTGTTAAATGATTATTAGTGACAAAAGCTTGTAGCCCTTTCCCTTCATCATAATACGAAGTAGCAAAAATCTATGTAAATAAAACATTAAGACAATAATTTGCGGCAAAGAATACCATGAAATTCAGCCAACCAACCACTGCAAATTAATAATCATATGTATAGCATGAACACAACCTATATAAGCAAATACTATTATAAACCGTAATAAAGATTGCTTGATAAATCATGATAGCAACAACAACATTATACTCAACAAAATAAATTGGTCAGTGAGGGTCGAGCGGAAACGAGAAAGATAATCCTAGCTAACTAATACCAATATACCATATTAGAATTATATTCCGTGAGTGATATCCTTTGCACTATTGGCAAAAGGCAATCTATACAATCTACCAAGCTTATCACAAGCTACTGACATAGCTACATTTTAGGCAACAGCTAATTACAAAAATATTCTAGGCTATAATCAAGTAACCGATATATATACAAAGATATATTCTTGACTAATATATCTTAACAGTCAGAATAAATCAAATCACAACATTGTCTAAATATGACATATCAAAAATTCAAATATTTAGAAATCATATCAATCGTATTTTAGATTGTTAGTAGATAAGCAAATCAAACGAAAGTACTTATCTCAATGTTGTGTAGACCAATTGACAATTTCCGCGTCGTGGTAAACCATTGACCTAAAAGACGATTCCGCGCTACCTCGGTGCAATAGACATCAAGCGGTCGCCCTCCAGGATAAGCACGACGCCGGAATTTGTGTGCACTCACAAACCCGACTGGAATTCAGAATACTTGCCCAAAAACCGAAGGGATATATTTTAAGAGAGGTAAGAAGTTAAAGATGGATAATTTTTGTTGTCATATCTTTCGGAGGTGAATAAGGTTGATTTATAAGGCAATGGAAGGAGTAAAAGCAACTAGCAATTAAGTGGAAAATGGTCATCAATCAAGTGGTGTAACATCCACCCATTAATCCCCAATAAGAGCTAGCTTTAATCAACATTAAAAGGGTAACAGCTAGTCTTTAAGTAACAACTTTAATTAGCAATAATGCCCATTAAATTAGCAATAAGAGGAAGATAAAATTAAGGGATTCCAATAGCCATTAAATCCCAACAGTCAAAAGAATAAACACCGTAACTTTCTAGGTTTTACTTCAAGAACTTCCAACACCTCTATCTTGACATCTTTCGTAACACCGGGAAGATCAACTATAAAGAGATGATTCTTTGGTGTTTCTTTCCAATCTACTGGGCTGTTTAATACAGGACATGATTGAGCTGCCCAATAAAATGGATCCCAATTCTCAAGTGACATGTTCTTCATGTTTTCTACTAAATTGCTCTCCAATGACATATTTTCAACCTTACAAAGAACACAATCTAGAATCTGTTAAAGTTGTGAAGTATTAAAATTTTTTGTTAGTATTATATTCGACAACTTGAATAGGTTTATAAGGAGGAATTCTATTTATACAAGTGATTATCAAAGCAATGTAACAAGTCCTGAACTTTCTTGACCATTCTAGTTGTTGGTAGTATTATTAAATTTAACAAGGTTAAGGTGGGGTAGAAAATGATAAAATAATGGAAATGGAGGTAGTATATTCTATATTGTATCAAATGTAATAGAATTGATATGTAACTTAGGGGTGTACACCGGTCCAAAACCGGACCGGACTTGGACCGGACCTGTTTGGACCGGGGACCTGAATTGGGTAATTATGAGGACCGGGGACCGGACCTGAATTAACAGGTCCGGTTCCGGGCCAGACCTGAAAAATCAGGTCCGGTCCGGGTTTGGACCTGAATGGACCTGTTTTGTGTCTTTTTCGTTTTTTTTTTAATACAAAACCTGTTGGACCTGCATATGGACCTGTTTTGTGATTTTTAGACCTGTTGCATAATTTAATAATCACATACAAACCAAAATTATCAATTACAAAACTACATAAAGTCTATAAAGTCCCGATTCTCAAACACCAAAAATACAAATGAGTCCACCGAAAATACAAATAAGTCCACGAAAACTCAGTTTCAATTTTTCAGAGTTTGGTTTTCTTTTTTTTTTTTTTTTTTTTTTTAATTACGATTTTCCCGGGTTTCAGGTCCGGACCTGAAAACCCCGGGTTTGGACCGGGTCCGGACCGGGAACCTGGATTTTTAAGAACCGGGACCGGACCTGAATCAACAGGTCCGGGTCAGGTCCGGTCCGGTTCAGGTCGGTTCAGGTCCGGTTTTAGGTCCGGGCCAATTTTTGTACACCCCTAATGTAACTAGTACAAGATGTTGCAGGTATTGAAAAATGGTGTAAATATTATTGTAAGTTGAACTGAAACAAGGCTTATTTAAAGTCAGGTTCGCTTCTCTGTTGGGCCCGTATTAATATACGACCCAGTATACAAAGGGCACCAATCCAAGATCAAAGAATTCCGCAAAATAGACAAAACGACTTGATTGGAACAAACAAGGAAAGCAGGATCAAGAGTATCAATCAAGAAGATACTTGCCAAGAATACACCTACAGAACAGGGAACAGAATAAATCAAGAAGATCCTCTACATTTCGAATATATTCTGAATATTTATGTAACCCTAGGAATCCCTAGGTATAAATAGGAAGAGTTAGACATTATAACATTCATGTACGCTCGCACATAATTCAATATAAACTGTTACTCTACTCTTATCCACGGATTTGTGTCCCTGCTGAACAAGGAGGCTTGTCCTTATTCAGTATTGTATCTCTGAACTCAATCTCTTTGATCTCATCGAATACTTATTGCTTAATTATTAGTTATTTAATGCTTTATTATCATTCTTAATTTCTTTATATATTATTGGTGGAATGATTGTTATTACCCCTCAAAACCTAGCAGATTCTTAGATGTCCTAGCTGAGATTTGCCTAAACAATTTGGCGCCCACCGTGGAGCTGATAATCAATTAACCTACCAATTCATCAAAAGCCGAGACAATCACCATGACTGGACAACCAGTACCCTTTACCATTGCCGAAATCAATGAAGGAATGAACGCATTCCGTCAAACCTTAGACTAACAGAAAAGCCAAATCTAAACATTGTTGGCCCAAAAGGTCCAAACCGAAGCCAAACTCACCAGCTTAACCAAACAAAATGAAGCCCTCCGTAGCCAAATACAATCAGTTGCATCTAAAACCGTTAACACCGGAAAAAGCACCGAAAGTATAGCCATGCACCTTGATATGTATGGAACCTTCCACACCCCTAACGGGGAAAAAGGATCTATCAGCAAGGAAATTCCCCTAGACTATATTCTCTGGATGCAGAATTCTCAAGAAGGATAGACAAGAAGGAGCTGAGCAGGGAAAAATAGAGAAGGTGGTTAAGGAATACCTCAAGGCATTTGAGGCCAAGATCGCCAAAATCCCTGGAGTGCCAAAGCCCATGGAAGAAGAGGCAGCGGATGGATATATAGAGTCTCCTTTCTCAGAAGAGATCGCCATGGTAGAAGTGCCAAAGAGGTTTAGCACGCCCAACATGGCTATGTACGACGGAACAACGGACCCTGATGAGCACGTGTCCCTCTACATGCAGAAGATGATGACAAGCTCAATCCCTAGAGATATCAAAAAGGCTATCATGTGCAAAGGCTTTGGAGCCACATTGTCAGGTCCCGCCCTAACTTGGTTCATTAATTTAGATAATGGGACAATTCGATCTTTTGTAGGAATGGTGAATCTATTCAAGATTCAATTTGCTAGTAGCAGAAAAATTGAAAAGCAATCCTCAGATCTGTACCGTGTTGTGCAAAGACACGGAGAATCCTTGAGAGACTATCTTAACAGGTTCAACAGGGAGAAGATTGGGATACACAAATGCGATGCTCCTACAACAATTGAAGCATTCAGAAGAGGGTTGCTGGACCATAGTGAGCTCTACAAAGAGTTGACCAAATATCCCTACACGACCTTCGAGGATGTACAAGCCAAAGTTATGGCTCAGGTTAGGTTTGAAGAAGATGTCTATGCAAGAAAGACCCCGAAGCCAGATCGCGAGCCAAGAAGGAACAAAAATTTTCCCAGGAGAGACCATCGATTCAAACCGTATCAGCGCTCCCGCTTTGATGAAGGATCAATCAATGTTGTTGAAGAAGAATTCTCAGACAGGAGGGAAGATCCTGAACTTCCAACTAAATTGCATGAGTATTGTTTCAATGTTAACCCTGCATGAGTAATTAGGACCCTGAACAAGATGGGAGACACCGTGTAGTGGCCTAGAAAGAGTGACAGGCCTGGAGAAAAGAAAGACCCATCAAGATGGTGCGATTTCCATTCAGATATTGGCCATACAACCGATGAATGTGTCGCGCTCAGAAAGGAGGTTGCTTACCTGCTGAAGAAAGGATATCTCAAAGAACTTCTGTCAGATAGATCCAAAGCTCCGGGAAGGGAAAAAGAATCAAAGCAAGGAGGCCCCCCACCTCCTCCTCCAATTGTCAAAACCATCTGTTTCATATCAGGAGGGTCAGAAGTATGCGGCTTAACATATTCAGCAGCGAAGCGGCATGCGAAGGAAAGCAATAAAGATCAGCCCGACAGAAGGGAAAAATCAAAAGCGGACATTCCCATCATGTTTGAAGAGAGCGACGCAATAGAAGGCCATCATGACGGTCTAGTGATTTCACTCCCAGTTGGAAATTGTATGATCAAGCGAATCCTTGTTGATAATGGAAGCTCTGCAAACATCATCATGCTTGATACCCTGAAACATATGAACATCGACGAGAAGAACATCATCAATAAGTCAACAATGCTAGTAGGATTCAGCGGGGAAACCAAGAAAACAAGTGGAGAAATAACATTAGCTACCTATGCGAAAGGAGTCAACTTACAAGTCAAGTTCCTGGTGATTGACACTTTGTCATCATACATTATAATCCTAGGCAGACCATGGATACATGAGATGAAGGCCATCCCCTCCACGTACCATCAAATCATCAAATTCCCTACCAGGTGGGGTATCCAAGAAATCAGAGGAGATCCTAAGGAAGCCAAGGAATGTTACAAGATCGCACTAAAAGCAACATCTGCAGAAAAGAGTTCAGCATAGCAATCAGAGGGTCAGCTGGGCCAAGAGAAATTGAGCATAGTAGAACAGGAAGCCACGGAAGTCCAGCTGAACCCTAACCATCCAGATCAAAAGGTCAGAATAGGATCAGAATTGAATTCAGATCTCCGTCAGCAAATTTATGACTTCTTGGAAGAAGAAAAAGATGCGTTCGCTTGGACCCACAAAGACATGAAAGGCATCTCCCCAGATGTGATCACTCACAAACTGAACGTAGACCCAATGCATAGACCAGTAAAGCAAAAGAGAAGGAAATTTGCGCCAGAATGGAACAAGATCATCAATGAGGAAATTCAAAACCTATTGAAGACAGGGAAGATCAGAGAGGTGAAGTACCCAGAATGGCTCGCTAACGTGGTGGTAGTCAGAAAAAAGAACGAAAAATGGCGAATCTGTATTGACTTCACAGATATTAACAAGGCATGCCCAAAGGACCCGTTCCCTTTACCTCACATCGATGCCATGGTAGACGCAACAACAAGGCACGAGCTGCTATCCTTCATGGATGCATACAGTGGGTACAATCAAATCCTCATGCATAAAGTCGACCAAGAAAAAACTGCTTTCATCACTAGTCAAGGAATCTATTGCTACAAGGTAATGCCTTTCGGATTGAAAAACGCAAAAGCAACATATCAAAGGTTGGTGAACAAGATGTTCGAGGAACAAATTGGAAACACAATAAAGGTTTACATAGACGACATGGTAGTTAAATCCAAGAAGGCAGATGATCATGTCAGAGACCTTAGAGAAGCCTTCGCCATCCTGAAGCAGTACGACATGAAGCTAAATCTCACGAAATGCACATTCGGAGTACAGTCAGGAAATTTCATAGGGTACATGGTTACGCAAAGAGGAATAGAGGCCAGCCCAGATCAAGTCAAAGCCATCCTGGACCTGGAGCGACCAAAGTCTAAGAAGGATGTACAGAGCTTAACAGGAAAAATTGCAGCACTAAACAGGTTCATCTCAAAATCTTTCGACAAGAACAGAGCCTTCTACGAAGTCCTGAAGAAGACAAGGAATTCAAATGGGAACAAGAGCACGACGAAGCATTTCAGAAGCTAAAGGAGTATTTGGCCAACCCATTGATACTCTCTAAACCTAAGGAAGGGGAGCCCCTCCAATTGTACCTCGTAGTGTCAGAAGGGACGGTCAGTGCAGTCCTCACAAGAGAGGAAGACAAAGAGCAATTTCCCATCTATTACGTAAGCAAAACCCTACTCAGTGCAGAAATGAGGTACGCATCCTTAGAGAAAATTATTTTAGCCTTAGTTACTGCCTCAATAAAGCTACGCCCATACTTTGAAAGTCATCCTACACGAGTACGAACCAACTATCCCATCAAAGCCATCATGAGAAAGCTAGAAATGTCAGGGAGGATGGAGAAATGGGCCCTACATCTGAGCAGGTACGATATACAATCCGAGCCCAGGACTGCAATCAAATCACAAGCCTTGGCCGACTTCGTAGCAGACTTCAGCCCAACCCTTAAGGAAGAAGCACAGAAAGAAGTACTGCATTACAAGAACCAAAGGCTACACAGAAATGGATGCTCCATACAGATGGCGCAGCAAACTTACGTGGTGTAGGCCTAGGAGTGGTACTGACATCATCGCAAGGAGATAAAATAGCACAAGCAGTAAGGTGTAATTTCAAGGCCACCAACAATGAAGCCGAATACAAAGCACTAATAACAGGGTTAACTGTCGCAAAAGATATGAAGATACAACACCTGGAGGTAATTTTCGACTCTTTGCTCATGGTAAATCAAATCAATGGGGAATACGCAACAAAGGACGTTAGGATGACAGCTTACATAGAAGTCACATGGAAGCTCATTAAGGGATTCAAGATAGACCAGGTACCCAGAAACTTGAACACTGAAGCAGATGCACTGGCAAACTTGGGATCAAATATTAACCCAGAAAAATTTGGAGCTATCCCCCTAGTGCACGTACTCTCTCCAGCCATAGAGAAAGAATCAACTATGAACGTCTACGAAGTTTAATCAGACTCTACAGAGGAAGAGGACGGTAGCTGGACTAAACAACTGAAAGAGTACCTCTTAGACAAGACAGTACCAAGAGGGAAAGTAGCAGCTCAAGCACTCACCCCGAAAGCTTCAAAATATTGCCTAATCAGCAGCGTACTCTTCAAAAAGTCTGTAGCTGGTCCCTTCTTACGATGCTTAGAGAAAGAAGAAGCACGGCAGGTCCTACAGTCCCTACACAGCGGAGAATGCGGAAATCATTCAGGAGGAAGGAATCTAGCCAACAAGGCTCTAAGAATGGGATACTATTGGCCCAGCATGAGAAAGGACGCTGCAGAATTTGCCAAGAAATGCTTAGCATACCAAAAACACGCACCTTTGACACACAGACCGTCAGAAGAGTTACATCCAACGCTGACGCCTTGGCCATTCATGAAATGGGGAATGGACATAGTGAAACTGCCCCCGTCATCAGGGCAGAGAGTGTATTTCTTAGCAACGACAGACTATTTTTCAAAATGGATCGAAGCAGAAGCTTACAAGGAAATCAAGGATAAGGCACGTCATCTCATTCATCAAAAGAAACATCCTAAGTTGATTTGGAGTGCCAGCAGAGATCATTACAGACAACGGGTCTCAGTTCATCAGCAACAAGACCACGAAGTTCTGTAAGGAGTGGAACATCTCCCTCATCATGTCCACACCGAGATACCCGCAAGAAAACGGACAGGCAGAGTCAAGTAACAAAGTCCTTATAGGCAACATGAAGAAATGACTAGAAGGAGCGAAAGGGAAGTGGGCAGATGAACTACCCAACATACTATGGGCAGACAGAACAACTCCAAAAGGTGCCACAGGTCATACCCCATTCTCATTGGTGTATGGATGCGAGGCAGTAATCCCAACAGAAGTAGAAGTCCCTACAGCAAGGTACGGGTTGATGACAAAAGAAAGAAACCAAGCGGAACTAATGCACAGCCTGGACACAGTGGAAGAATTAAGGGAAGATGCAAAAATGAGAATGGTAGCATACCAGCAAGAAGTAGCAAGGTCCTTCAACAAGAACGTCAGGGCAAGAGTCTTCAAATTAGGAGATTGGGTCCTCAGGAAAATGTACGAGAATACTAGAGAAGTAAACGCAGGAAAACTAGCACCCAAATGGGAAGGACCATACGAAATCATCAAGGTAGTAGGCAACGGAGCCTACAGACTCAAGAACGCAAAAGGAAAAGAGGTACAAAGAAGTTGGAATACATCACATCTAAAACTCTATCATTTCTGAAGAACAAAGGTACGTAGTTATCATTTAAATTTTGTTTTCTTTTTACAAAAATACAAAATACAAAAAAAAAAACAAAAAAAGCAACGAAAACACAAAAAAAGAAGAAAAACAGAAAAACCAAAAAATCTCCAACAGCCAAAGGCAGCACGACATGTACTCTTCTTCACCTAAACTTTGTCAATTCAATTTATATTCACTACGAGTACTGACGTTGGCATCGGAGGGCCATTGGGGAAATCCACGGCCACCCCTCACCCAATTCTGTTTTGCAAGGACGAACAAGCTACGCTACCATACAAAGCAAAAGAAGGCGATAACCACCTATCCCTACAAGAAGCGCCAACAAGGCACTATCAACACAAACTTGTAAGCAATATTACGTACGTACTACAACTGTAATACAACCGTAATACAGCTGTAATAAAAATGTGATGCAATAAGAAATACAGGAACAACATAGCAAAAGAGGTTAAAATACTTAGCAACAAAGTAAGCAAATCATCCAGCTGCAACAAGGCAGCACAAAAACAACACAAATTATGCACTAGAGCAGTAAAAACAAACATTCTCCAAAAAAAAAAAAAAAAAAAAAAAACTTAAATATTGTTCACAACTAGCAGGTGACACAACACCATGGAAACTAATACTCCCTAGTGTTATCAACATGGACCCTCTCTTCAGCAACAGACTTGGAATCCTCAGGACCATCCTTGATATCCTCGTTCATGGGAGAATCAACTTCTTCATCAGCATAGGCTAGCAGCAAGGTACCAGGAGCAGCAGTCCCTGCAGGGAAAGTTTTCTCAAAGGCAGACTTCTCAGCATCATAGTCCCATGCCCCATGCTTCCCCTTCTGGTAATCCTCCATCATCTCTAAGCGCGCCTTTCCAAAATAATAACTAGCCACATTAAGAGAATCTTTTGCAGCCTCCTTCAAGGTACCCTTCAACCCATCTCGATCTGCAAGGCACTGCTTGTACTTGGTCCTTTCAGCCTTCAAAGCATCAGTGGCAGCCTTATACTTATCAACAAGGGCATCATGTTCCTTCTTCATAACATCATAAGCTTGAGTGAACTCTGACACCTTGCTCAATACACCAAGGCACGACTGAAAACTCTACAGAATATCACAACAAGGTCAAGAGACGCAAAGGGGCACCCAAACTGATTTTCTGATTTTTTTTAAGGGAGTATACTATACCTAGAAAGACCGTGCGGCAACCTCTTGAGAAAGGTCAGCGAAAGTCTGTGAAGAGCAAGTTACCCACATGGGGAGCCAAAGAGTCATAAGAGAAGTCAGCAGCATCAACGTCAGTAGGGATTCAAGATTCCTCTTAAAGTTGGTACGAGGAGGAGGTGGAGGGGGAGCACTCCTTAGAGGCTTCACATTAGCTGGAGCAGGGACATCCTCTGAACCCTTAAGAGAGGCCCGCGACCTAATGCGACCGAAGATAGAAGAAGAACTAAGTAGTTCATGAGACCTCAACGACCGGGAAATATCTACACATTGCAAAAAAAAAAAAAAAAAAAAATTCAAAAGGGAATACAGCAAAAAGTACCAGGTCTATAAGAGACAGTAAAACAAATTATAAAACAAACTTAACAATGCATACAGATCAGCCCATAAAGAAAAAGCAAAACAAGAGGACGATAAAATTTCCAACAACAACATAAAGAATGTAATCGATAGTATAAGGATAGCATAAAACCCTCACATCAAGTTCTATACCCAATTTCACACTCAGCAAGTCAAGAATTCTCAAAACCCTCCAAGTTTGGGACAATAACTGGCAAGGCGAGACCCTAACCCTAGACAGAAATTGACGAACAAGGGGAGAGAAAGGGAAGGTATGCCCAATCACAGAGGGATACTCGAAAAAGCACACCCAACCAGGGGCAGTCCAGTGAGCTCTTTCCCTAGAAGATGGAATTTTTACCACCACTCCATTAGGAAATCGCGCAACTGCATCAATCTTTTGAACCTCCTCCCTTGTCACAGTGGAAGGATAAACATCCTTAGCATGGAAAACAATCTGCGCAACCAAAGTCGGCTTCTTCACACCTTCATCCACCCCAGCAAACACCACTCTTACAGTACCATCCATCATAAAAACGCAAGAAAAATAAAGAAGCGAAGAAACAGAGAAGAACAGAGAAGCTAAGAGAGAGAAAGTACCTCATGAAATTCGAAATTGGGGCAAAGAGTAAAGTGATTAGACATAAGCCTGCACACCCAATAAATAATGAAGAAAGAAATAAACCGCCCTTCACGGTTACCGAAGAAATTGCCTTAAAACTGCCACCACGTTCCTTATTTTTGTTAACCGTTGAAATAATTTCTAAAATTCGAAAATCCTTCAAACGGCTTCTTTAGGTAATTTTCACCTTCAACGCTTGAAAATAAAAATTAGGGGCAAATGTTGGGCCCGTATTAATATACGACCCAGTATACGTAGGGCACCAATCCAAGATCAAAGAATTCCGCAAAATAGACAAAACGGCTTGATTGGAACAAACAAGGAAAGTAGGATCAAGAGTATCAATCAAGAAGATACTTGCCAAGAATACACCTACAAAACAGGGAACAGAATAAATTAAGAAGATCCTCTCTATTTTGAATATATTTTGAATATTTGTGTAACCATAGGAATCCCTAGGTATAAATAGGAAGAGTTAGACATTATAACAATCATGTACGCTCGCACATAATTCAATATAAACTGTTACTCTACTCTTGTCTACGGATCTGTGTCCCTGCTGAACAAGGAGGCTTGTCCTTATTCAGTATTGTATCTCTGAACTCAATCTCTTTGATCTTATCGAATACTTATTGCTTAATTATTAGTTATTTAATGCTTTATTATCATTCTTAATTGCTTTATATATTATTGGTGGAATGATTGTTATTACCCCTCAAAACCTAACAGATTCTTAGATGTCCTAGCTGAGATTTGCCTAAACATTCCCCTTGTTTTAATTGAACATAAATTGTTTTTATCGATTATATTAAAACTTGATTCTTCAAATTGAAATATAGTATTATCACCATCAATCTTCTTCCATTTACTACTCCGTATCAGTAACTCCTGTCATTTTTTAAATGCAACAGTTTAACTCGTCTAAAGTTTAAGGTGGGTGAGTTGAGTATCAAATATTATGCTTGAGGTGTTTGAAAGTTAGGTATGTGAGAGAATATAAATAATACTTCGTAGCATAAAGAGTATGAGTATGGGTGTAGAGAACATGTAATGAAAGAGATATTATGCACTTGTACCAGTTGTATAAGGTAAGGCAAAAAATGTTACAAAAAAACAGTCATTTTAAAAAAGTTATACGAAGTACGAAGTTTGTATTAAAGATGATAAAGGGAGTATGTCTTACATGTTACAACATTTTTAAATTTGACAAAATACATTTTACGATAATCACACATACAACTTTGATTATTTTGGTCATTTATAATTTACAAAATTCATTTAAAATTTGTTCCATTTTTTATCCAAAACTTAGGATTTTATACAAAAAAGGAGGGGTAGATAAGATTTGAATCCATAAGTTGTAACTTTAACCAAAACTAAAAACTTAGGGCTTGTTTTGTATCGCAGTGATTTTCTGTTTTTTGTTTTGTTTAGTTTAGGGTTTTTTTTTTTTTTTTTAAATAATATGATATAGTACCCATGTTTTTTTTAGTTGACATGGATTCCTTTTTAGAAAGTTTTTTTTTTTGGTTAAGAGTCTGTTTTTTTCACCTTATTTACACTTATATATCATGTGTAATAAGTTCTAAAAAGTCCAGTCCGGATTTAATAAGTTCTGTAAGGGTTACCCAAGTACAAATTGCAATTAAAACAAGTTTTAATAAGTTCTAATAAATTCAGAATAGTTCGGGTAATTTCACATAAGTAAAGTAAATTCAGATCAGTGAAAATTAGATGAATAAAACACACCCTAAAACATACTCCCTTTGTTGTTGTTGTTTTTTTTTTTTTTTGCATCTGTTTGACCGACACATTTGCCGAGACACAACTTGACTATTAATACATTTTATTATCTATTAGTAAAAATTGTAGCAAAATCAATACTAATAATTTAAAACAGGAAGTTGGAAGGACACTCGTCATCTTCCTATTTTTCATATTTAATTTTTTTTATTTGACAAAAATTAAAGGAAAATTTGCAAATCGCAGCCATTTAAAGTTCAAATTTTGCAAATTGCAGCCATTTAATTTTTTTTTTTTGCAAATTGCAGCCCAAAAGTTTGTATAAATTGTAAATTGCAGCCCAATTCAACTTTTACATCGATGTACATGTCGAAAAATCTTCGGTTAAGATTTTAGGGGCCATTTTAGCCCTTAAGAATCCAAATTGAGCTTGAAATTAGCAAAAAATA